GTTAACAACACAAGGAATACATTATAATTATCAAAAATCTTACACCACAAAAATACACAAGCAAGTAAAATATGAAAACAAAAAAACTTGTGAAATGTGAACAAACGTTTCCCCTTTGATATTACTGATATTATTGCACTTTTAAGTGGTAAGTGTATCATCTAAAATTGTATCGACTGGTTAAAAAAAGATCTTGCTTATGGCTTTAGCCATATTAAGGGACCACTGCTGATTGCTAATCCTATTTTTCCAATACAATATATGATTCTTTTTCTTGAATGTGGATATAGCTATACTGTTTATAGTCTTTTTAGATAGGTACCCAAAAGAATTGCTAACTTTTCCGTGCATGTTCAAAATCATATTCTCGGTTAGTTTACCTAAATCGTAAACGGTTATCCTTTTTAAAAAATTGTACCCGCATATGATACCGCATCAACTTTATTTTTTTAGTTGGTTCGATGACTTGTAAAAAAAAGCTTCTATTTTGTTCTTCACTTGGTATTTCAACAAAAAATTATTCTAGAATATATGAATAAAACTATTTAGTAATCTAGGCATTTAATCAATCAATCTAATATAAAACTATATGTGCATCATATGGAAGAAGTAAAAAAACAAACCTGAGTGATAATTCGAAATGATAAGGAATAATTTTTCATTTCAAGGGATTAACAATCTGTTCTAGGAAGACAACTATACCTATAGATATGTAGATGTATTGAAATAGAAGACATATTATTATTTTAATGTTAACGTTTATAATCCTAAGAACACAGCGAGTGAAGACAATTTAAAGGGTAACACATATTTTTCCCCAGTCTCCGGCAATATATGTATGTCGTATAAAGTCATAACCCGCATTTACAAATGCGATAGAGTCTAGGCTAACGAAGTTTGTAATTAAAAAAGTTACTCTCTCTACACTGGGGCTCTTTTATGGAACAAGCTTCTCATTTGTTATTGAAGTACGTTCAAAACAACGTGAATAGTTCTGTATTTCTTTATAATGATTTGCAATACTTTGTCGGCCTTGTGTTTTCGACATCTATGTATTTTCTTACCATAAAATATTTAAAAATATATTTTACACTTCATGAGTGGGATTAGGCACTTAATTCGCCATTTATATCTATGATGTAGTTTTCTTTACTCTGCTATATAAAGTTTTTATATTAATCACAATAATTATTGTCCGTTTTTATTCATTTACATGTTTAATACTAACTTTAGTATCCGTTCTCAGCGATCCTGCAATTTTAACCTTTTTTGAAATTATACATACCATTAAATCTCGATACCTGTTGTTGCCGGTCTTGCTTTTGTTTCCTTTTTGTAATATCCAACCGATCAATCATTATAATATTAAAAAGGCTTTTATGTTTCTACTTAATTTACTTTGGACTCGAAACAATTATTCTCGACTCATAATGGCATTACAATGTATTTCCACTCATAATTCGTTCCGTCTCATTGCGTTATCTTTAAGTATCATGCGAAGTTAATGAATGTAATATAAATAAACAATTATATCGATTAGTGGTTAGGTTAGATTAGGTTGCAAAGTACACAATTATTGGTAACCATTAAAATTATATAAAAAACGTATTTAATAAAAGTTGAAATTATATCTAATAGTTTTTACTCTTAAGTGGATAAAAGCGGTATAATAAGAGGTATATAAGAAAGATAAGCGGTGCACAACATCTGGTGGATGAAAACTTTGAAAAGGACACGGTCACAATAGTATAGAATATAGGGATGGATGGATGGATGGATGGTAACTTTAACCAAAAGAGTCATAGAAGGAGAATAGTTTTCAAAGAACAGGTGTCTTGGTCACTTCACGACTATCTGCAAGTGTGGTGGAGTTGTTAAAATATTAAAGAATAAATAGCAAATCAAAGAAAAAGTTTCAGCACTCTCCCAAGCTGACCAAGCTCTGACTGTGTTGAGATTCTGTAAAATGTTCCCACGAAACAAACCTGTTCTCAATAATAGATTTAGCTATAAAGCAGTACAAAACCTTTGAAGTTAAAATAGAGTGTATTCTACTTAAATACTTCTTACTAACTGATAGTTAGCTTGTGCAACTCTTTTGATTCGGTAAACGGAATTAATAGGATTAGGGCTACGGTCGAAGGTTGGTCTTACACTTGGAGGTATTAAAAGTGTAGTCCTAGATCACACGCCCGATTAATTAAGATATTTAACTTACTACAAAATACACCAAAGATTTATGTTGGGAGTTAATCACAGAATAAATACCAACTTCAGTATCAGTTTAAATGTTACAAAACAAAACTCTGCCCGTTAGGTTAGGTTAAAAAACCTAGTCGTTACGAATGCAGCCAAAGTCCAGCGATAATATTTTTTTCGTACATCATCAGTATACAGCGTTTTTTGAATTTTTTTAAACACCAGATACGTTTTGTTGAAAACATTAGATTTTTATCCTAAATATAAATATATATCAGCCATTTTATTTGCATTTTTTTTTTTAATTTAACTATATATCATTAAACGGGTGACCGACGAAATTTTTACTGTGAACCGTTTTTTAGGCACTAGCGAAATAATTTGTTGCGAAAAAAAGGTCGTTTACTCGACCCAAACTGAATAATTTATAATACTGCATACAACAATACTACAAATCTTTTTATATGGATATATATATTTTATAAATGGCTGATATTACATCCATCCGCCCGGTATTGTTTTATGTCATATGAAGCATGTTAAGACGCACAGTAATCTGAACATTATTATGTATATAATTATTAGTTATATATACATATATATATATATAAATGAGTTAGCAATTCTATAAATACAGTTATATGTAGTTTAAATTCACACCTACGGATACTTTTGAAATGTGCTGACGTCGCAATAATAACTTGAGAGTTCTCTTCTCTAAGCTTATCAAGGGATTTAAAAAAAAAAATTTTCAGAAACTTTACAATTAGACCTTTTGTATACATTTATTATTCCAGTAACAAGAAGTCTGTATAAATAGTTTTTTTATTATACTACCATAAGATCTATTTTACAACGTTTCCCTTTGTTTTTCTTTATTATAATAATTTGTCAGTTATTTGTTTACAATCCATTCTATTTTTCTCGTACTAAAATGGGTATATTAATATAATGGTAACGGTTTCAACATCGAATCTGACCGGTATTTAATTTGATATTTACCGTTCCGATCTCCTAACTTGGTTTATCTATACAAACAGCGAGCGAAATCGTTTGATGACAGCGGCAGGCGGATAAGTCGTCGACTACGGCGAATTTCAATCAAATCTATTTGGGCAGAAAATATTCCCTCAGCACTATACAAAATAATTTGCTCAGAACCCCGAGTTACCCGTAATACCGCAAAACGATGGCGGTGGTCTAATGTTTGCCGAACGATACATGTAATAATATATTCCGAACCGCCATAATATTAATCATAACGTTACTCGCATAAGACGGAGACGGGATTAAGTAACAATATTATAATAGGTTTTAACGCATTTTTCGGCTTGATTTGATCACCAGACTGACAACCGTTGCGATTATTATTATTATTATACCGCTGCTGTTGCCTCGGATAAACTCATATTCGTGACGGCTCGGCACCGCCTCCGGGACTCTCGTGTTGTCATTTTTTTTTTGACGTGATTTTTTTGTATTATAATTTTTTTTTCTTTTTGGCGCTTACTACAATACTTATATATTTATACATAATAATACATCGTTTATAGCGGTGCGTACGCGAAATAAAACGTAAAATGAATGTGAAAAAAAATTGGAAGAATACATAAAAAGCCAGTACAGTGGGGCCGGGGCATAGTGGGGACGGAGAGGTCACAGGTCTACAGATTTTATTATAACTGAAAGTGATAAAATCACTTTTAAATAAACACTTCGATGCGAATCTGTGGATAGTATGTTCAAACCAGTTATAGCGGCTTAGAAGATATCGTGGGACCAGCAATACTTAAAATTTAATATTTAGTCTTGTGCAGGGTGGATGCGATAAGGGTTGATCGTCTATCTATAAAAATGTACTGTCATTGTTACCCATATATCGTAATTAACAATATAATTAAAATATTTTCATTACCTGTTGACTGTTGATTCACACACACATAGCAACCTAGAAACTGACTACGGTCAAAGTGTAAATTTACCCTTTTTTGGGGTTTTACCGTAATAAAAAAAAAAAATTTGACTACAGATTTTTGAGAAAATTGTATATGTTATAGTTCCGTTTTAGATCTACCTTTGGTCTAATTTTCAGATTTAAACCTCTAAAACTTGGATTGAAAAAGTGAAATAAAGAAAAAAATTCTATCTCGTCTAAGGGAAAGGGTTTATGATATTTTTTTGGTTTGTTAACGTTTATCCATAGTACTATAAATTTGGAACATTTTCGACTATTTTTAAAAAAGTTTTAGAGCATCGTAATTTAAAGTTGAAAAATTTGTACATTTTTTTGGGTTTTTTTCTCGATTTTGATGGGGAAGGGGTGACTATTTTTAATTTTTGGCCAAATAAAGTACCTTACAGGTATGATTTCTGATTTATACAGTTGCTACACGAAGAAATCGGTTCAGCGGTTTACGAGATATCGTGGGTCCAGACACGAAAATAAATAAAAACACATCATTGTAAAAACAATACCTTCTCAGCTTCGCGCCGAAGCTAAAAAATAATAATAGTACGAAAAATAAACGGAATGCGTTGGAAATTAATAAGTGTGCGAGACAAGTAGAAAAAACAAAAAATCGAGTGAAACGAAAAAGAGAGAAAAGGGATAATATAAAATGGCGAAAAACCGCGGAAACGTCCAAGTCCGTAAGCGACTGGTGCGCCGCCGCCCGTGCTGCCGTCACGCCGGGACCTCTCCCCGTCGCACGCTCCAAAAAAAAAAAAAAGCCCACGAGATCGGAGGCGCTTTTGGTCGGCTACCGGAGTGCCGCCAACGTAGCCAGCCAGCCTCAGACTACGGCGCGGTAACCCGTTGCGAACGGTCCGTCCAACGTGCATTGCGGCGTGGTGTTTTACAGCATAACGCGAGCTATATATGTATATACGCGCGTGTGTGTGTGTGTATAACAGTGCGAGTATATATTATATACACACACATAGTGTATAAGCATAACACGCGTATGTATGTGTGTATAACTTGATTTACGAACGGTGTTTAGAGTGTATTCGCGGTAAACCTGTACATTGTATACATATATATACACCTACGTGGTTTTTATTTCTTGACCGTAGATAACTTGTAGACACTCTTTAGAGAAGTCATTAATAATATAATATTGTACTATTCGCGTACGCCACGTCTCTAACTACTCTGAAACGTCGAAAAAAAAACACACACAAATTGTCGTGGTGGTCTTGAGATTTTTTTCATTCGCGCCCAGATAAACCGGATTCGATTTGGCCGACAATATGAAGACTTCGTTGAATATTTTGTCTAAACGCTTGTTCAACAGAGCCCTGTACTTGGTACTAGTCTTTGGTGAGTCATTTTTTTTTTTTTTTAGTTAAATCAAATATCAAAAAAAAGTTATCCTACATGGAAAGCGGTATTGTCAAAACATTACTCAACCAATAACTTAGTTTCAAACGTTTAACTGACGCGGTTCGAAAAATAAATATCAAGCCATTTAGTTAAAAAAAAAAAAAAACGTTTTACTCCGACTTGCATTACAAGAAATCGTATACAATATACCTAGTAGTGTAAAATGTATTATTACGCTTAGTTATTATAATATATCATACCGTTAAAAATGATGATAAGCAATTTCAAGTTCTAAGTATATTAAATAACAACCAGGTTATTTTCAGCGACAAATATAAACAAAACGCAACTAATTTGTTTTTTTAAATAGACTTAAAAAAGTGATTATTTACTTAAGCTGCGTTTAGGTAGTAAGCCTATAGGAAAAAATATATCACATTAACATAACCACATAATGTATTTCTTGGATATAATATACATTCCCAAATGAACACTCAATGTGATGTCTGTGATGACTATTTCGACTTCAGTTAATCATGCTAAAACTTCCTCGTAAATGGTCATCAAAGACAAACTTATACTACGAGGCCCTTAAAGATTATAAATAAAGTACACTTTGAATCGATTTCGGATATTATTATAATAATAATTCATATTATCGTACGAATAAATTCTTATTTCCGCACTGTAAAACTAAAATAATTTCTGTTAGCTGTTGTGAATCTGATCAAATCATGCATTTTGAGTTGACGTTTCATCGTCTGAGAAATACTTCAGTTTGTGGACAATTTTACTGATTTTATACTATGTAAACAACAGGCATTTCACTTAAAATAACATTTTTTTTTTTAAATAATGTAAACATGTTGATTTACATATAAAGTGATGCATTCTTCTAACAAAAGGCGTTTACACAAAATCCTTATAAATGTTCAGTTATAAATCTGAAAACGGTATATTTTAAATTTTCCTATCTTAAAAACTGTAGCGTTAATCTTTTTTTCGTAATCGTATATTTTAACCGTACCTAGTATTTTTTTTTTATATGGCTTTAAATGTTAAACTTGTACATATCGTTTAATATCTTTGAAAATATAACAGTAAAACAATTGTAATTTGTATAAATGACATCTAATACAATTAATTAGTGACGGTAAAATTGACTAACAAACATAATAAGTATATATAACAAAATCGACGAAACGACTGGTTTGAATATTATAAATATCCGACCTAATATTATATGTATAATACATATTACGGTGGGTTTACACAAACACCGTAGTTAATGTCATTAGTTATTATTATAAACGTTATTTTTATCTCTCACGCTTGAACCATCGCTACATGACCGGGTTAATGCTACATTAATCTATTTGATACCAAAATATCGAGACTCGGATGTGTACTGTATATGCATACAGTGCACAGGATAAAACGACCGTCATACATGATGTAACGTGGGTACTTCACTGCACTGCGTACAGTTAACGTTTACATCATACAATGTAAACACAATATAGATAATAGATATTGTATCTAGCTGTTAGTGTTAATTTAAAATTTCATTAATGACATCATTTCACAATTTTCAAAGAATTTCCGTTGAAAATATACGTTCCTAACAACGCTCTTGCCTATATTATAATATGCTATAATAAATGTATTGTCAAATCGTTTTTACACGCACTGAAGTACAATGTGAGTTTTATTAAATATTAAAACTAATTTTCGGAACAAAATGCGCTATCGTAAACACAGGCGAGAGGAAAACAAAGTGAATCCCGTGTTTACTAAACTGTTTTTATACTTTAGACGTCCACCAGGAAAAAATAAAAAACGTTACCCGCTGCCTAAGTAAAAATATTCGCCGGGTCGGTCCATCATAATAATATAGCCTGTTCACCCCGGCCGACTCATATACTTAACACTTGACACGGTATAACTTTACTTGTTCACCGTTATCTCATTAATTTTGCACGCTTTATTACGCCCATATTTATCGGTTAACAGCTTGCTTTTTAGTTTGCCGTTATGTATACACAGTAACGCGCATTACATTAGTGTATCGTTGCACTTACATATTATAAATTATGGTCCGTAAAAGTATTTCAATTTTGTATCGTGTAATTTACTATACCTAGTCAGTTACCCTATACCGTTAATAAAATATAATAATAGCCTTAGCTATCATACACTCAAGCATATTACTCCATAGAAATTAATTTACATTAAAATGTTAAACTATAATTATTTTTGTAAAATGTAACAATGATTTATAAGAACAAGCATGTTTTTGATCTATAACGTTTCGAGCCACACATAAACCAAAATAAATACTGATAATTAAGTTTTATCAATATCTTATAATGTATTATATTCGAATGAAAAATACATATTAGAGCTGTTGAAGTAATGTCAATTTTATAGCCAAAGTTTAATAACGAATACATACATCTTATCTCTAAATTAATGATAACATGTTTACAAATCCAAAAACAATGATATTATATTTTTCAAATCAAACGAGTTTGGTATTAAATATGTTATACTATATTCTTTTATTGTGTATAAAAAAAAAGTATGTTTTTTATTTTCTACGAAGTCTGTTCAGCGTCCGGTCTAAACGACAAACACGATAAAATATAACTTAAGATTTAATAAACTGATGAATTTCTGCTTAAGATATCGGGCGACAAAATTGTGTAGGAGAATAAAAACGAGGAACACATATAATAATACCCCACAGTTTGGGTCGAAGCTAAAACAAACAGTGTGTTAAAGTAATAACATTTTATTGTTTAGAGAAACGCTATTTTTATAGTATTGAAAATTCCTGCTTTTATAACTCTGTACGTACATTAACATCGCTGGCGGTTAAAAGGTACTGCTTTTTAAAAATTAGCGTAGCTAAAAGAAATTAAAACAAAAAAAAATAGTGCAAATATATATCATATGTATTTTTAATAGTCTAGTAGACAATATTTTTTCAACCCTTACATATCACAACATGACAAGTTTTATATAGAATGAAAATTTTATATGAAAGTCCTTACAAATACATACAAATATATGTAATATATACGAATAATCGATTTTAATTACATTCTATAACGTTGTCAACAGTTCAATAGTTAATAAAATTAAAACTACATATTGAACCTCGTTTTAGTTTTGAAAACTACGTTTTAGGTGTTCAGAAATTCATCATTATTATTTTATGGTCAAGATATCATTTTCAAATCACTTTCAACTATTATATTTTTTGATACCTATCCAGAAGTTTTAACGTAGTGAACTAGATAACCTAAATTAACTAGCAAACGGTAGGCTGAAAGTATGGGCTCACCGTTAATGACGATTATTAGCGTACACCGTATACAAATATCTATTGAACACAATTATATTATCAGACTAAAATACAGATTATATATTAACAGGTAAGTGTAAAAAAAAATTAATTTCAAATATAAATTCGTTATTATTTTAACTATCATCTCATATTATTACGAGCAAATTATTAAAAACCACCAAGAATATTTTGGTTTTTGCAAGTTCCACTGTAACTTTTTAAAAACTATTATTTTTATAAAATTTAAAAACGTGAATCAAATATTGATATTGAACGTATACTTTATTAAAACCTAGAAAATATGAGTAGATAATATCATTAAAAAAAAAAACTTGTAACGGGGCTTTGTATAGGCAAAATTGATACATTAATGTACAGTTGACCTTATAATAGTATACAAATTTATTTCAGTACCATAATTTGTACATTTCATAATATCGTTTTGTAATAAATACCTGATAGTTTATAATATTTTAGTAAACCTCTTATAATTATTTACTTGCTTTTTGAAACGTAGAGCTATATAAATCTATTAAAAGACGAAAGGAAAAAAAAAACGAAATTCAATAACTAATTTCTTTTCTTTTCATTATTTACTTTTAGCTTCAAAGCGTAGCTGAGAAAATATTGTATTTTCCTTATAAGTTTTAACTTTAAAATAAAATATTAATTAGAAACGTTATAGTTATGAAAAAGTTTAGTGAAGTAAGATTCCATACATTTATAGCTGTTTGTCTAAACACACTTGTAAAACTGTACATTTATCTAACTAGTAAAAATGAAAAGCAAATTATAAATGATTAATGTATTTCATTATTGACAATGTAAAAGCATTTCACAGTAAAATGTCTTTGTCTGTTAGACTCGTAAAATACAAAGACAACGTACCCAGTTGTATAACCCGCTTGACGCTTGTTAAATGTTCAGATGATATTATCTACCATAGTAATTAAAGACAATAACTTCATTTAATATCATAATAATAATAATAAGTTACGGTTTTAATACATTCTGATTTATAGGTGTCTTGAACTGGTGTTGTATTCATTTAACTTTTATTAAGTGTATAACATCTTAAATCTTAATTTTCTTTGATAGTTAAACAGTGTTGAATTTTTATAACATGCGAAATAAAAATAGTAATAGTTATATTAATAGTAGTATGTAATAATAGTTTTAAAAAATCTATCATATAATATATTTATATGATATATATAAATATATTATATAATTACATTTTCAAAACAATTACGTAGAATAAAATGTTAAGAAAGTCTAAAATTTTATTTAATTTAATGTTAAAAAGACAAAAATAAAAATTGTCTCAACGTCAAACTCATTTATTAATTTTAAAAAATGTGTTAAATATTAGTGTTGGATCAAAAAAATTAATAAAACATTATTGTCTATGATAAGGTTAAAAATAATATTTTTTGATGTTATTGATTCATTAAGTATAAATTACTCCTAACATTAAAAAAAAAAAAGTCTTATGAGTTAAAAAGTGAGCAGTAATAATATCCCAGCTTATTAATTAATTCGCTTCTGAAGTAAATACAAAAAAACAATGCAATGTTGGCAAAAACTTAAAAATAATGTATATAGCGCCCAAAAACTACGGTAAGGTCTTATAACGTCGTAAAGG